CAACAGGGGGAGGAAAGGGGAAGCACTTAGACACACAAATAACAGAGCTATGTGTTGGAGATAGAGCAGCAAGCTGCAAGCTGGTGCTTTAACACTCATTTCTTTCCAACCAAACAGGACTAGCAGGTGCCTGCTGTAGCCTTCAGCTACTTGAAGAGCAATGCCTTGCCAAAGGCACTGAAATTTCAACTAAAAATGTGGAAATCCCAAGATGGAGAACAATAATGGGAAGGGGGGGGGGAATGAAGGAGGAGACACACCTTGATTAGCAAAACCATGGGTGGTTAGCAAATTCCACCGCTCAGGAAACTGTCATGCTGGTAAAGGCCAGTGAATAGGGAGCCATTCTTTCCAGACTGGTCTGGGGGGGGGGAAGGAGAGATGTTCCCCTTCTTTCCCACACCCGCCTCACCCACATTCATAAATCATGGTCCTTTATTACTGAAGGCTCTCCTATGCTGCACTGTAGTCTGATGAAAGGGGGAGCTCCTAAGATTTTTGCATCTTTTTAATACACTGTAAGCTGCCCTGGGTGGCGTATTTGGGTTAGGAAGCTCTACTAAGATAAATTTTAAAATTTATAAAACACACACATAGTGGAAGAATGATGGTGGAAGGGTGTAGGATAGAATTGATCAAAAACAGGCACCACTCAATGTTTTGCACAGGTGCAATTGCCTTTCCAGGCATTCAAAATAGAGACTTAGTGTGCAGTTCTATTGACAGATGCTCCCAGGTATGTGTATATCAGACAGCAGTCTCTGTCGTATTTGACTTTTAGTGAAAGAGCAAGGAACAGGTACCTTTTCAAGATGCCTGAGACTCTTTCTTTTCCTAGCAATGGGACAATAAGATGGTAGTATGGGGAGCTGGAAGAGATGTGAAGCTGGGGTTAAGGGAGATAACTGAAGAATAAGTAATAAAGTAATAAATAAGACTGGGAAGGACGGTGGAGAGTCATAAGCAAAGGGGAGATGGAAAACTAGTTCCCCTCAGGATATCGCAAAGCCTGCTTACTGATATTTTCCACTTTCATTTGCTACTACTAGTAGTAAATTATTTACTACACATTTACTACTACAAGTACTACTGGTTATTAACTAACTACTGCCGGAGATGGAGCCATGTTGGTTTGTGACAGCAGAACCAACGGAGGCAGGGACTAATTTGCAGCGCGATCCTAGTCATGCCTACTCAGAAGTCCAGCTTTATTCAATGGGGCTTCCCCCTGGGGAGGTAGGATTAGAACCTAATATAATTATTACGCCATAATCTTTCATTGACTATAATGCACTTCAACAGATGCAACCAATAAATGAATAGCAGCCCTATTACAGCCAGTGACATCATCATCATCATTAATTGTATACCCCTCTTCATCCGTAGATCCCAGGCGGTTCACAGCATAAGCGTCATTATGTAATATTATAGATTTTGGGGGCACAGCACAGTGTTAGAGCTGCAATGCATGCAGAAGGTTGCAGGTTCAATCCCAGGCATATCTCGGTAGGGCTGGAAGAGACCCCAGGCTTTAATCCTGGGGAGCTTCTGCCAATCTGTGTAGGCATTACTGAGCTGGATGGAGCAGTGGTCTGACTCAGTGCTTCCAATGTTCCTCCCTGGTCCCTGCAGCAAGTATGATGGAATCATGGAGAGTAGGCAGTGACCTTTAGCCCTGCCAGCTGTTTCATGTCCCTGCTAAATGTCTGCTGTTCCAGCAGGTGACCAGGAGGAGGAGCTGTGCTATGTTGCCAGGTTTGTCCACACCCTTGATTGCTGCAGGGCCAAGGGCCAAGCAGTCCTCACTCCTGCTCTTGGCAATGACGAATGACAGCACAAGGAAACAAAGTGCAAATGGCCATCAACACAGCTTCCCTGGCTTCATGGAATACTGAACGCTATTTGCACAAAGGCCGTCCAACCAAAATTATTTGGCTGGTCAATCAGTCAGGATGCCATTCGTTAGGGACTCTCGGCTATTTTTGTACATTGTGCATTGTTTCCATGCATGTGCATGCATGGCCTGCCAGTTTGCTGCATGCAGCAAGCTTTTTTCACAGTCCACAGCGTTGCTCGGAGAGGCACCCTTCAGAGTTCTGTCGCTGCACATTGCACGATGCGCAGGCTGGCTCTCAACTCCAGCCTGCCATTTGCAGGGCAGGCATTACCAGTATGTTACCCTGCCCTTCTTCAAGGAGCTCAGGGCAGCATACAAGGCCACCTCCTTTTATCTTCAAGATCACTCTGTAACTTTAAGAAGCAGTCCCTGAGTTTGCTTTTCCTTCCCCATCCCTTAGATTGCAAGCCTTGTTGTTGTTGCTGTTGTTGATTTAAACTGATCAGTAAGCGGGGAACCTTTTTGGCTGCAGAGTGGAGTAGGAAGGATTTAAGTAAATAAATACTAAACCTTGCGAGGTAGGTTTGTTCCAGAAAAAGTGACTGGACCAAGGTCACCCGGTGAGTTTTGTGCCGGAGGTGGAATGTTATCTGCTTATTAAAGCATGCATCTGAAAGCCTGTGAGGCACCTAGCGACGACTTAAAAGCACAGCCAATGGAGGAAAATACTAACTTTATTTATCTTATACCACCCTTCAATCATAGTCTCATGGCACTTTATAAAAAACACACACACACAATTAAAGTGTACGAGGGCCTTCTCTGTGGCTGCACTACATTGTGGAGACCTCCCAGGCTCTGGTTTTCCAGAGCAGATAACCTCTTATCAGGAGGTCCAGTCTGTACAATGTAGGAATTGGGCCTTTAGTGTTGCGGCACCTGCCCCTTGGAATTTCACCCCAGTTGTCTTTTCAGTGCCCTTCCTCTTTCAACAAACCTTTTCAGCCGATATATTTCCTGGCCTGCATCTGTGCTGGGATTGTTTTATACTTACTTATTGTTTGCTGCCCTGGGCTCCGTTTGAAGGGCAGGATATAAATTTGCTGGAGCCACACCAAAATTTTAATTGACAAGAAACACCAATAGGTGAAAAAACAACAACTCCTAGCTGTGCTTGATTTATAACACAGAACACAACTACTTTATAATATGATCACGGGACATCTAGAAAGTATAAAACAATGCACCTACAGAAGAACATGAGTCATTCCCAAAATATAATATTGTCTTTGAATCTTCTTGCCACCCTTTTCTGCAAGGCCAGTGTGGCATGCCACACCCTTTGAGAACCACTGTCCTAGTCTAGGGTCAATCCACAATGGCACTGGCTCTAAATGGAGAACCACTATTCACAGGGTGTGTTCAAAATTGGTACCACCAAACAGCTGTTGATGCTCCAGGGCCTCAGGGGGGCCTATAGCCACTGTCTCTTGACCAGCCACCACTGAGGTTGGGCAGCCATCCCTCCAGCAGAGGAGGCTTCTCCCACTCTCAGTAAGTTTGGGTCTGCTGGGCTCTTGTTCATTAAGATCCTTGCTGCACCAGGCCAATAACCCATCTAGCCCAGCATCCTGTTCTGCCAGTAGTCAACCTGCTGTCCATGGGAAGCCTGTGAGCAGGACCTCAGCATGGTTGCACTTGTAATTCCCAGCACAAGCAGAAGAAGAAGAGTTTGGATTTGATATCATGCTTTATCACTACCTGAAGGAGTCTCAAAGCGGCTAACAATCTCCTTTCCCTTCCTCCCCCACAACAAACACTCTGTGAGGTGAGTGGGGCTGAGAGACTTCAGAGAAGTGTGACTGGTCCAAGGTCACCCAGCAGCTGCAAGTGGAGGAGCGGAGAGGCGAACCCGGTTCCCCAGATTACGAGTCCACCGCTCTTAGCCACTACACCACACTGGTTCCCACTCACTGACATCCAGCCTGGGACCTTGGGGTGAAGGGCGAGTAATAAATAAAACAAATTATTAAACAAATTATTAAATAATAAAAAAGGTCAGGGGTGCCAACTTGAATAAAATATTGGGGGGCTGGGGAAGACCAGGTAAGCCTCACCCTTTATAAGTGATCACATGATGTGGTGCACGCACATCATTTGAATGTCAATACCCATTCAATTTGAATGGCAATGCCCATCAATTGGAGGGAGCGCTGGCCCCCTCAAATATTTCAGAGGGGTCTGAAGGGACCTTGGCCCCCTAGGCATAGAGGCCAACTCCTAGGGGTCGAGCTTGCTCCATCAAATACAGTGGTACCTTGGGTTACATACACTTCAGGTTATGTACGCTTCAGGTTACAGACTCTGCTAACCCAGAAATACAGTGGTACCTCGGGTTAAGTACTTAATTCGTTCTGGAGGTCCGTTCTTAACCTGAAACTGTTCTTAACTTGAAGCACCACTTTAGCTAATGGGGCCTCCCGCTGCCGCCGTGCGATTTCTGTTCTCATCCTGAAGCAAAGTTCTTAACCCGAGGTACTATTTCTGGGTTAGTGGAGTCTGTAACATGAAGCGTATGAAACCGGAGGTACCACTGTATTTCAGGGGGCTCTCCCCCCCCCGCCAAAGTTGAGAATAATTCCCAAATTTTGTGCGCGCGTGCCATGTCATGTGATCGGCGATGCGGGGCGGGGCATACCTGCTCCCTTCCCCGCCCTCGATATTTTATTCTAGTCGGCACCCCTGCCCTTGGGAGTTAATGGCAAGGGCCTGAAACCGGCCCTGGCGCGCGAGACTCGCCCTGGCAGCTTCCTGACGGCTCCGGGGAGCTGTTCCGTGTCCTGCCTCCTCGCCTGTCCTCCTCCTCCTCCTCCTCCCCGTGCGTCACCGAACCCTCTCAGCTCCCTGGGCAAACAGGTGCCGGGGCCTCGCCTCGCCCTCGGGTGCCCGGGAGGCCGCCTGTGGCGATGCCCCTTTCTGGCTCTCTCTGAGTGACCGCGCGCCCCTCCGGCTCGCCCGCCGGCCGCCCTCCTTCCTCTCCACAAGTCGGGAGAAACTTGCTCGACGGGCGGGGAGGGAGGCGGGGGAGGAGGAGGAGGAGAGGCGGGCCCCTCGGCGTGCGCCTCGCCCGCCCATTGGCCGGCGCTCCGTCGGCCGCTCCAGCTGGAGCCGGGAGCCGTCGGCTGGCGGAGGAGCGTCTCGCGCCTGCCCCTCTCGGAGCGCCGGCCAAGGTTGCGCGTCTTAAAGGGAGCCCCGCGCGCGCAGCTGCCTCTTCACATCGATTCCCCCGGCAAGAAGGGGAGCACAGCGCCCGCCCCGCCTCGTCTCTCCCCTGAGCGGACTGTACAATCCTCGGCAGTGTCCTGAGACTGTATGGTCAGCTCAGGGGCGGCTCGGCCCCGGGATCGCAGCCTCGAAAGCAGCGCCGCCGCCGCCACCGGACCCGCTCGCCACGAGGAGCGCGCGCCCAGCCTTTCGCCGCCGCCACCACCAGGGAACCTGCGCGGCCGAAAGAGGGAGCCCAGCACGCCCCTTGCACCTCTCCAAAGGCCTCCGGGGACCTGCCCACCCACCCAAGCCAGGCCCCCTGCCCGCCTGCCTGGGTCGGGCGCGCCCACGAGGGAGCCCGTGTAGCCAGACGCCGCGCAGAACAGCGGAGGCGCCGCTTCCACGATGACAGCGGAGAAGGAGAAGAAGAGGTAAGAGGAAAAGCGCCCAGGGCGCACCTGAGCAGCAGGGCGCCCCCACCCCCCGATCCGGCGCCGATCGGGGGTGGGGGTTTCCCTTTTTACGAAAAATTCCTTTTCTTCTCTCAGCTCCAAAGTGGCCCTTCTCCGCCTGAGGTCTCTCCCGCCGTATCAGGTCATAACAACAACAGCAACAACTTGTCAATATTGTATCATCATCGTCGTTCTGCTTGTTGGACGGGAAGGCCTCAGCGTTGATCTTGATATAATGGGCATATAGCTCACGAAGGGTGGCCCCTTGAATTTATTTTTGGGGTTGCAGGGTGGGCTCCCACGTTGATGGGCATTGCCATTTAAATAGTGGGTGGGTGTTGCGACTTCTAAGCGATTATGCGGGGTGGGGCTTACCTGGGACCCCCAATATTTTATTCAAGTTGGCACTGCTCTACACACACACACAAAACAAAAACAAAACAGCTGTGTGTGTGTGTGTGTGTGTGTATTGTATATATATATATAGTGTGTGTGTGTATGTGTGTGTGTGTGTGTGTATATATATATATATATATATATATATATATATATATATATAGTGTGTGTTGTGTAAATACACAACAGGGGTGCCAACTTGAATAAAATATTGGGCAAGCCCCGCCCTGCGTAATCGATCACTTGACGCGGTGTATGCACACCATTTGAATAGAAATGCCTATCAGTTTTTTGGGGGGCGGCCGCCTCAAATATTTTATTGGAGGGTCGAAGGGACCTCGCCCCCTAGGAGCTGGCTCCTATGATACACACACACACTTGTACGATTCGCTTGTTGACGTTTGTACACTTTTGTCTAATTTTTTTAATGTTGGGTACAATCCAGACAAAGCTAAGCAGTTTTACGTTCCTTTGGTGTTGTTTTTTTTTTTTTTTTTAAAAAAACCATGTTTCTCATGAGTTCATTAAACACGTGTTTGTCTGCCCTGAAATCTACGGGACCTCCGAGAGCTTTGCTTAGGCTGGATTGTAATACTCATACTGTAATAATATATTTTAAACCAGGTTTGGTTAGGTTCCCGTCGATTTCAAAGGGCGCTTTTCGCCCCTGCTTCTTAACTCTGCCCTTGAAATCCGCGGGACATGGACGCGCTGAATTTTGGCAGGATCCCGCCCCGATGCCTTGGGAATGACTGAAGCTATTCACTGGAATTGCGGCGCGAAAGAAATAATGTTACTTCTTCTTGGCTTTGCTCCGGGATCTGTGACGGTTTTGTTGTTCCCAGATCTGTGTACTTCTGAAGGTTCAACTTCCAGCTCTTTGGCTAGCTCCCCCCCCTTCTCTCCTCTTCTTCCTTGGAATTGACGCGCTAATAGGATGCTCCCAAAACTTACCCAAGAAAGCTGTTCGCCAAAGCTAAAGAACAGTCGCAGATCTGCACCTTGTGAAGTGTGCGTGCCTGTGTGTGCCAGTGTCTTTTGGAGACAGAACTACGCTTAGGAGGCGGAAAGCGATTATCAACCTTAAACAGAGAGGTCCGAAAACGATCTCTTCTCACGCTACTAGAATCCAACGGCTTTGGCATCCTTCTCCGCTCTTTACCTGTTGAACTACTGTAACTCTAGAACCTCCGGAACAGAGAAGGGAGCATCTGACGATCGCTCCCCCTTATCCCCATGCCCTTTAGACAGCCAGTTAAAATGTAACCTGGGGTGCATCTGTCTGCATAATGACAAAAATGGGACTTTAGCATGTTCTTTGTCGGTGTCCACTCTTGTCGCGAGTCTGGGAGCTATTTCGCGAGAAAAGAAACGAGTCGAATCCTCTAAAAAGTAAACGGAGTGACTCCCATTCTTCGTCCCGTGGCATATTTATTTTTCTAGAATAACGACAGCTTGCACTAAGGAGCCGCCACTCCAGATGCAACACTTCACACTCCCGACTCCTTTCCCAGAAAATAATAAATGCACAGCTGATTTTCTGCCAACGTAGGCTAGGGAGAGATGCGCCGTCAGAAAACTGCAGGAGTACAGTTAGGTAATTTTAGCCCGTGGACTTCATGGTCTTACGCGGGTCAGCCCTCTTTAGGGGGTCATCAGCATGACTTCACCAAGGGTAGCCAACGTGGCGCCCTCCAGATGTTTTAGACATTAACTCTTGGCCATGCTGACTGTGGGGGGGCGGTGCTGAAGGGAGTTGGGAGTCCACAAAATCTGGGTCGGGGGCACCGCGTTGGCTTCCCGGGCGGTGAGCCATCCCTGTTGAGTTTGGGGCTGCGTCCTGCCCCTCCTGTGGACTAGGGCCCCTGGGCTTCTGCGCCCCCAAGTCCTTCCCTGGTGCCACCACGGATCGCCACCACGCGCGCCTTTGCGCGTATTCCAGCTCGCTGGCAGCTTCGGTTGCATTTCGTCAATAGCCGAGTAGGATTCAAAGAAGTGTTGTTTTTTGTTTGGTTTTTATGTGGGGCGGGGAGGGGAGAGAGATTGCGTTCACATAAACTTTTGAACTGCACCAGTTTGCAGAGCGCTGGCTTTCCAGCACCGTCTCTCCAAAAGCTGGAGATCATGTGTGGAGTGACACCGGATTGAACTGAGCGTTCGTCGTCAGTGGCGAAAGGAAATTTAAGGGGGCGATCGGTTTGGTGGAGAGCAACTCTCTCTCTCCCCTCCCCGAAGTTTTGAAGACCCAGCGTCTGGGATAGGCTGAAGGCAGCCGCCCAGAGACGCACCAGTGCAAGGCAGTTTAAGTCGAGTGGATCCCCTTTTGGAGGCTGGTGCTGGGAAGGTCCGGCAGCTTCCCAGGAGGTTAAAGGGTGAATGCGGATTGCACAACCGCCACCTCTGCCCCTCCCGTCCCCCTGCTCCGTCCATGCCTCATCAGATCAGCTCCGCGGCTGCTTTTACGCCATCTTCCCCAATTACTAGCTTTGCCGATTGTGCAAAGGCGGAATTTTTTTAGTTCATCCTCTTGAACGCAGCCAGCCTGTGTCGACGAAGGTGCTTCTCCCTTTTTCTGCTGGACGACCCTGTCTTCCTGCCCACGCTTCAGCCGCATTCTCTATGTGGTTTCCCTTTCAAGACATTTTTAGCCACCATCGGAGGCGAAGTTGAAAGGGGTCGTTTCCTCCCCCTTCACCTTTCAACGCTTCAGGAATTGGCAATTTTAATACTTCAGATTTGTACCACACTTTTCTGATTGTGCAAAATGTTTCTCATACATCCTCAGTGATCCTTACAATACACCTGTTGTTAGACACATATTTCAGTTGAGAACACAGAACGAAGTCAGGATTTTTGTTGGGAGGGGAGCAGAACCTCTGTTAGCTTTTTTTTAAAAAAAATATTGATTCAAGGGGGCAGTTCCCTGTCCCCCCTTCGCTACGCCCATGGCTGAGAATGCAAAGTCACCTAGTGTATTCATGGCAGAGGCAGATTTGAACTGGAGGCTTCCAACTTCCCGGTTTAGTCTCTTAATGTCTGTTACACCAGAGGTTTCAACCAGGGAATGTTCAGTATATTATTTTATTCAACACAGGCTACAAAGGTGCGGTGTGTTAAGGTGCCATGCGACATCCAGCCTTGGTTCACATTGAATTTAGTGGATCTTACTCCTAAGTAATCTTAGTTTGATATAATGTGTCTTCATTTTAATTATTAGGCATTCCAGGGTGCAAAGCACTTTGAAGCCTGATGGTTTTATCGGGGAAGTTATCTATGCACATGAAGTGCTACATTATGTGTTTAAGAGTTACCCCCTGGTTCCAATCCCTGAAAATATAAATTTGGGGTACAGCAAAAATCAAGTCAAACTTAGTATGTTTCACTGACTTCAACTGGATTTAAAAGTGTTTAACACTGGGTGGATCATGTCCAGGTTTTGCTGAAAGGATTAAACTTGGAGCACGGGTAGTTTGTTGTCTTAAAAAATATATGTTTCCATATTTGCAACCTAGAACTTCACATCTTATGCGTGCTTCTCTTGTATGGTCTGTTATCTAAGACCTTCAGAGAGGGTTAAGTTTGTATCTTTTTTTTTAATTGGGCGGACTTCTGTTGGTAGAAACTTCCAATTTGCCATATGAGATGCATAGTGACTCGGAACCAGCACAGTCGGTAGAGCATGAGACTCTTAATCTCAAGGTTGTGAGTTCGAGACCCACATTGGGCAAAAGATTCCTGCAGTGCAGGGGCTTGATCCTTGTGGTTCCTTCTAAGTCGACAGTTCGATGATTATAACTGAACAGTCGTCATTCCATTCTCTTTTATTATAGTCAAGAAATGTGTGCATGGGAGAGAAGGGGCCACAGTTTGTGTGGAGCTCTGGGTAAACACTAAAGCTTTGCATTTCCTTGTGTGCCCATTGGCACCTTTTAGAAACTTGGTAGCTTTTCATGGAGGGTGTGTGTGTGTGTGTGTGTGTGTGTGTGTGTGTGTGTGAAGGAAATATAGGTATGTGCAAAGATTCCCAGAGCAAACCTGCAATCAATCCCCTTTTGGCCTGTATAAGGTATATGTATAAGATCTTGGCATTGTTGGTGTAGCTCTATCTGTTGTTTTGGAAGGGCAGAGAAGATAGCTTCAAATGAGCAAGGATACCTAATGTAAAGGTCATATTCCTTTCGGTTCTCCTTTGGAATATTTCCTATTTATTGAATATTTAACCCCTGTTGCCTTTGGGTGCATGTAAAACTTTTCTCCCCTGATCTGTGCCAACTCACATTTCGTGAACACTAAAGTTCTTGAATGTCCACGGCGTTCAGCTGTCCGCTCTTGTGGTGTGTGTGCGTATTACATTTGTTTTCTGCATTCATTAAAAGTGTGCCAGGGAGGAAAAACGAATCACTGATGACCAGCATGGTGAAAAGCTCTCATTTAACAACCTAACAGCTAAGCTGATATAGTTAAGGCAAGGGTGTGTTAACCAGTACTTTCTCTTCAAAAAGAGCAAGAAAAGCAATAAATAATATTCCCAGAAGGATTTTTGCAGTGGTTATTGAAGAAAAGGTGTATGAATAATGTTTGTG